GCGATTGCACCTCCCAGTCTCGCTCGGAGACTGAGCCCAGGCGGTGCAACCTCCTGCCTTGGGCGGTTCAACCGCCTGGCAGAAATCAGGGTCCGAATGGGTTGATCCATTCGGCCCAGTTTGGGTTTTTCAGGGGCCCAATTGCCCCAAGATTAAGTTAATGGGATCACCTCTCATTTCCAACTTAATCATTGTGCTAACTACGATATTCCCTAAGACATTTACTGCAACTTGCTCCGGTGCGTCAATCGTTTCTTCCAGCGAGCTTCCGGCGAACTTCCGTCGATCATCCGATGAACCCTCGGTGATGCTCCTGCGGACTTCCGGCAAACTCATGGACTTGCGACGATTCACTTGGCGAGTTCCGACGAGCTTCTTTGGCAAACTCATGGACTTCTCGGATTTGTTCCCGCAGAACCTCCGACGACTGTCCGAACTTCCGTCGAACTCTCGAACTCCCAACGTGATCATTATCTTGACTCCGGCGCAACTCATGCTGCATGTCTTTCTTCCATCGTAGTTAATCCTGCACACTTAAAACAAAACTTCGATCGAGACAATTAATCCTAAGCAATTAACCAAGTTGTCCGACATGTCATTGGTCCCTCGACGCTTCGTCCGATTCTTCGGCGCATCGTCCTTTCCTGCAGCCTATTGCCCAATCGGTCAGTTGACTCCGTAACTCCGATATCCTTGGCACAATACCCGCTCTTCTTGGCCCGATGCCCGAGTCCACGGCTTGAAGCCTTCTGTCGATACACCGGCCCGACGTCCAATCTTCTGACATGTTCCTCCGGCACAACATGATTTTCCTGCTTTAATTGTCTCATCCTGATCGAAGCATCCTGCGTCACTCAAAACGCAGATTAAATCATAAACATATATCAAGTAGTTTCATCATCAAAATACAAGATTCAACACTCTCTAATGCCCATTAGCCATTAAACCCCAACCACAAGGTCACAGCAAAAAATATAATCTAACCACAGTATAAGAATATTAAGCATATACACATCATGGTGTTAGAAGCTGAGAGAAAGTAACCATATGTTCCACACTTGATGACTTCATAAATCTTTTGGCCATAATTTAGACATAAAAGAAATAAACAAAAAAAGAGTGATAATGCAAACTCACCATGAAGGATAGAAGCCCTGTCAATATACTGCACCACGAAATCATCATAGTCAATATTGGAGAAACAAAAAATTTACCCTAAAGAAATTCTTGTTTAAGTTTGCCATTAGATTCCCTTTTACGCAAATGAAGACCCAACTAATGCAGGAAACATGTGAAATTAGGAACAAAACACATAAATTGAAAATTCTATTAGTGCAACTCATTCTTCCTCTCATGTTTGTTGTCATACCTTGATACAGACCACATAGGATTCCAGGACTCTGGATGAACTGAAATAAAACAAGAATAAGTTATACAACTTGTGAACACAACATCAGACCAATAAATGTAGAACTTTTAACAGCAGACAAAAAAATGTATTTTGGAGCTATGCTAACAACTTACAGTCACTCATGGATAAGCAGATTTTCTCATTAGGGACAAACCGTCCATTGGGAGTTACCATGCTGACAAAAAGAAAGATAATAAATTGATTGCACTGGTAGCAAGCTGAAACTTAAGCAATTGGCTCTACTTTTTTTAATTTCAATATAATATGCAGGATTTAGTCACCGAATACTGGGAGGCTTGAATGGGTACTCAGGGGAAAACTTGAGCCTTCCATAGTAACATCCACCTTCATATAAAAATATGGTAAGAGAAGATATACCAACACAAAAATCGATGCATACAGATAACGACTAATGTAGTAAGTCGATTAAAGAACAACTGAGCACTGCTAAAAAAGAAATTCATCAAGCACACTCTTTCAAATGTAGAAGCTGACAATTATCATGCATGTCAAGGCAAAAAAATCATTACCAGCAAATGGTGTGCCTTCACTTCCTTCAAGTACAAAATCTGAAATAAATACCACAGACATTGTCAGTTCCTGTTCAAAATATCATAACAGTTTAAGATGAACTAACAAAGACAACTCAAGAATCAAAATCATATCCCGTCAGCTAATCAAGGTCCAAACTAAAAGCTATTTTGTATTCCTGATTACAAGAATTTTGATGTGTCAAGAGACTTGGATGACTAAATGCTCTTTATACAGTAACATTCCATATGTCCTCGAGCAACAGCTGTAAAACCATTGTGCCATTTAAGAGGGTCCATGTATTCCAGAAACAAAAAATGCTCCAAAATTTAAATGAGAGCAACGATGGGAGCAAGAATGGCATATTCCAAAAAAGGAGAAATGACTGCTTGTGTCACATGGCTATGGAACAAAAGAAACCACACTTTTAAGAAATGTAAACAAAGAAACTTAAGGAATATCAAGTAACCTGTATCCTCTTACACAAAATCGAAGACATTTATATGATATCAAAATAAATGAAGTATCAAAAAGGGTAATATACAAAATAGCTTACTTACGCCAATCAAGAATATCAGAAGGAGAAGGACGCGCCACAATCTGAGGAGGTGGTTCCTGCAATTTAAATGAAAATATTCAGAAAATTTTAAAAAATAACAGAGCATGCAGTCAGCTGATAAGAAAAAGGTGCACCTGAGATGAAAAATGCTGCAAACAAAAGCAGAGAAAAAAAGATATATTCTATCACCATATAAAGAAAACCTAAATAAAAGGATTCGTGAAAAATAATTTAAATATTCTAGACAAATGACTAATTGTGAAAATTGCCTACTAACTCTCTGCAATAAGGGCCAGTTACCAAATTATTTGATTATGCATGCACAAAAAAAAGGGAAAAGACGTTAGAAGTCCACGGAGCATGTATATGAACAGAAGATACAACAATGATAGTACAAATAACTTGATATAGCATGTCACAAGAAGGAAAACTGACCATATACCACTGAGCATTTGGAGCAAATTAATATACAGAATCATATAATAAAGAATATGATTGGTCTAGTTTATCACATAGTCCATGATTGTAACAAAAACAATCTTTATTTAGCAAGACAAAAACTCTTGTTGATAGATTGATACAGCATACTGTTGGAATCTCCAACCTCATATAAAGGAAGCTGACAAGGTCTAAGAGCTCACTAGTCACTACTATTAATTCACCAAAAACAAAAGAAGCCTTCTTGGTTAACATCCAGGGAAGCTGACCCAATTAGCAAAAGCATCAGAGTTTCTGTCTTTTGCTAGTTACTTAAAAAGAAAAGCGGGAAAAGAAAGCATCCTATATTTACACATTAAGCGTTGACACAAAACAATTGACCGAGAAAATTTCATCAACATATTTAGACAGATAAAACAAAAGCACAGAAAAATAGAATCATTCAATCACCATAGAAACAAGCCTAAAGAAAAGGATTCATGAAAAACACTCTAGACAACTGACTAATTGTGAAAGTTGCCTACTGACTCTCTGCAATAAGGTCCAGTTACGAATTATTTAATTATGCATGTACAAAGAATGGAAAAGAAGTTAAAAGGCAATGGAGAATGTATATGAGCACACGATACAGCAATGGTAATACAAATAACTTGAAAGAACGTGTTACAAAAAAGGAAACATGAGCATATACTGCTGAGCATTTGGAGCAAATTAATTTACAGAATCATACAATAAAGACTATGCTTAGTCTAGTTTATCAAGTAGTCCACAATTGTAACAACCAACAAAAGTCACAAACTGTATTTACCAAGACAAAAACTCTTATCGACATATTAGATTATCTTAAACAAATGACACAGTATATTGTTGGAATCTGTTAGCCTCGTATAAAAACGACAAACAAGGTGTAACAGCTCACTACTTCTAATTCACCAAAGAAACAAAATAAGCCTTCTTGAATTGATATCCAGGGAAGCTGGCCCAATAGCCAAAAAGTATCTGAGTATCTGTATTTTGGGTGTTACATGAAAATAAAAGCAGGAAAAGGAAGCATCCTACATTTAAACATTAAGCGTTGACAATAAATTATCGACTTGGAGAAAATGTCATAAACAGATTCAGGCAGATAAAACAAGCTTACTTTGCAAATTGCACGATATTCTTTTTGAAGGCGTTTGACACATGCCCTGTCTGCCATTAACACACGCTGAGGCCAATCGGAGAGCCAATACCACCACCCCTCCAATAATTCCCGATGAAGAACCTCTCAATTTGAGTTGATTTAGGATTCTGCGCAACGATTGGCGGGCATAAGAAACTATAACCAACATAGTATCAGACCGCAGCATTGACAACTAAGTCGTGCATAGTAAATGCAAATAAATGTAAGAGTAATTATGAACCAGTTTGCACGATTAGGAGTCCTGCGCGAGGGCAATCAGAACAATAACAGTTAGGACGCAGAAAGATCGATCGATCCACGAAACAGGAGTCCCCGATGACCCGATCGATGAGTTACGCCGTGGAATTGGGGATGTAGATTAACCATAGGAAAAAACCACACCGCGTAATCCCAATCGGGCATTATGACAGGGGGATGAAGAAAGGGGCAGAAAGAGGAACCTGCGCGAGGGCCGCCCGAGGCAGCGAGAGGAGGAGAAGCGTCGCCTCCGATTTCACCGGCGCCGCGGCCCGAGGGCGATCGGAGAAATCAAGAGCGATTTAGGTTTGACCCGATCGCCCGGCGAGAATATATAGCTCGTCTCGGTGTGTTGATGTGCGTGGAGGATGTGATCTCACGGGCTCCACACGGACTCCGCCCGTCGTTTAAGACCGCCTATATTCTGCACTACTATTTTATTTTCTTTAATTTATGGAAACAATTATTTTCAATATTAGATTTAAATTAATTTTAAACAATCAAATGTCCAAACATATTTGAGCAATAGAATTTTGGAAATGAAATAATAAAAGAGATGGGGACTCAAAACCTCATTCCATAAATTTGATGAATTTTATACCTAAGACATTACTTTTTTATTTCATTGATTTGTAGAAACCAATATTTTTTATATTAAATTAAAATTTTGCTTCAAATTGATTTAAAACAACCAAATTTTGGAAATGAAAAAAATACTGAAAGAAAAGAAGAGATGGGGACTCTAAATTAATTAGGTTGAATGAGAGGGGAAATCTTTATCTTGTCACGTTATTAGGTCAACACAATAAGACTATGGCTCCATATCGTTAATTAGGTCACGCCGTTAGTCATCGAATATAAAATGTTCGATATTTTTATTTCATGATTTTTTAGATAATATTATATAGTATTTTTTGAAAATTAAAAAGTTATATTAGTATTCTGTAAATATTAAAATGATAATGCTACATCGAGATAATATTTATAATTAACATTTAAGTATTTACAATGTAAAATATGAAATGCGAATTCATATTTCAAATGTGTTTCGATACTTAATAGACATTTCAAATGTATTTCCAAACACACTCATAATAATCAACAAATAATTATTTATACTCGAGTAATTAATTATCGAATATTTCAATAAAACTATATATGTTGCATAAACCATCCACGATTATGAATTTAAACTCTCGATCCGTCCATGAATAATGGAGGACACCACCTCTTGTACAGATATCAAAATCGATATTAAATATGGATTCGATATGTTTTGAATCAATCACACTTGAGTATATTTAATTAGGAACAGGAAAAACTTAAATATAATTATAAAAAATAAGCCAAAAAATTGTTTTAAATATTTTATGCACAATAATGAGTCAAAAAATCGTATTAATCGAACTAGCATTTAAAAATCATATTAGATCAGCAGATTGAATATAATATAATATAATATTATTTAAGTAATTGGCAATGAAAAGATATTTAATCTCATAAATAGCTGTATTCGTGCTTAAAAATCAAACGCGGAGCCAAAATAATAATAATAAAAAAGAATAATAAACAAATAAAAAGCCTGAGTTGCCCTCCACATTTTCCGGCCCTTTTCATTCATGGTCACTTCGTCCTGTCTCTCCGCCTCACTCGCGAATACATCCGCCGATCGCCGCCAGGAAATCGAAAACCCTCGGTCACCATTCCCAGATTCGTAAGAAGAGTGTGTCGCGTTCATATAGTTTCGAGAGACGAATGGCTCTCTCGGCGGCCGACGTCCAGACCGTGTACTCGCTCCTTTCCAATGCTCTGAGCCTCGACGAGTCGGCCCGCAAGCCGGCGGAATCCGCCCTCGCCCAGTGCGAGAACCGCCCGGGATTCTGCTCTTGCCTTCTTGTAACTTTAGCATTCCTTCTTGCCTACTAGGGTTTCTTTTTTTTTGTGCCACTTGTGATTTTTGTTTTTCCTGGACGATGAACTCCGATCAATAACCGGGGGAATGGTGCACGCAGGAGATCGTCGCGGCGAGGGATTCGGGTTGCCGAGATGACGTTCGCCTCCTGGCCTCCGTGTATTTTAAGAACAGCATCACTCGCTACTGGAGGCACCGCCGTGATACCACGTAAGCTGTTCCATTCGACGCCTGAGGCTCCGTGGTTTGCGTTGTGCGAATTTTACTTGACTTGTCTTTGTGCGATGTGGTTTTTTTGACAAAAATCTGTAGGATTTTAAATTTAATTCACATGTTGATTTATGTTATTTGCACAATAGCTATTATATCTAGATAGATTCGCTTAATGGGTTCCCCATCTTGGCCTTCTAGGGCAGCTAGGAGCTTTGGAATGATTTCAGCATATCCTTTATATTCTTTGAAATAATTTATGACTGACAAACCATCTCCTATTTGTTTGGTTAAACCCCGTCAGAGTTTAATGTTGTAGGAATTTATTTGCTTTTCAGTGATATTGCCTTGTTCAAATATGTGGTGTAACTTTTGGAAGTTGTCACTCAGCTTGTTCCTGTTTGACAGATTATTGTCGCATGTGAACATAATATGTGTGACACTTGTACTCTACATCTCTCTCTCTCTCTCTCTCTCTCTATCTATCTATCTATTTTCTGGTGCTAGGTATGGATCAAACTTGCGAGGTGGATAATGAAGCAAAATGATCAAAGAAGGTTCACATAATCTAATCTTACTGTTTGAATGATGACTTGCATGTTCATGGATGACTTCAAGGAGCAAAATCTTCATCTTGAATTCTCATTGTTATTTGTTTGAGGAGGCTGAGAGAAAAACTCTTTATTAATTGAGTTGGAATACATCCTTTACTTTTCTCCATTTACAACCTCTGCTGGGTACATTTTTCACTGTATCGGTACAGGTTTTCCAAATCTTGCTCAACTATTGAAATCATCAAGAAATTTCTGATAATTTATATTTCTAGAGGGTACAAGCCTTACACTTTCACTATCATTTATATTTTCAGTAGGTGGTATCTTGGTTTCTTATTGCACTTAAATTAAATAATGACTGTTAGTCGTAACAAAAGAAAATGATCTGTCCAACGTAACAATCATTTTTCCGTCCAACCTTCTACTATCATTAGGCTCGATAAAAGTTTCTCATGGAAACCCTATACACTACATGGATGCAAGTCTGTATGTTTTTGGCAAGTTTGCATGGTTGGCACTGTCATGAAATGCATGGGTAATTGCATATGGTTGTGGTTTAGTTAAATACACTTGGTCATGGTCGCACAAACTAGCTGACCTGTGCATTTTTTTCAAATGAAGCACAACAAGTATGTTTGACACATTGCAATTAGATCTAGCGGCATATCACCTCAGTAGTTTGTGAAAGGATCTTCACACTGTGTGCAGAGCATGCCCATGTAAATAGGGAGTAGCACCTGAAATTCTTGAGAGTCCGAAGGACTTAAATGAATAGGAAAATCGTTAGGGAGCTCTGTTTATCTTCACATTGATATTCCAAAATAGAGGAATTTTGTCAACAAAATATTTGTTTTGTTTTGAGTAATATATTGAGACTTGTTGTAGCTTGCTTAAAATGGATGTGCAAGCAAATCGTGTGAAAATGGCATTTTTTGATTGAGAGAGCAGAGCAGTTAAGCATTGGTGGTTTTTAGCACTTTCTGTCATACAAGTCATTTGATTTAAAGTGTGAGTAAGCCCTAGCTCCCAAGGCTTTACTTCTCAATAATGTTAGGAGAACCTTTTATCAAGTGGGTCACATCCTCTGGATCAGTTGGTTGGTTTGGCCTTAAACTGAAACGCCCCTGTTCCCTGTGCCGTTTGTTTGATAGAATAGGATGATTCAGGATAACAGCATTGTTTTGGTGTATTCCAAGAAAATCAAGGATGAAGCACAGTCCGTATATCTCATTATGTTATAGGTTGATGCTTTTTGTTCATAGTTATTTCCGGTAAGTTGGATACCAGCTTTTGCTTTATGAATTTGTTGGATTTTGGTTGTAGAACCACATGTAATGGGTTAAATGCCCGCTCATAGTCTTTCTAAGTTTAGAGATTCACCTATGGGCCTTTAACTATATATGATGCTACAATTTATCTTTTGTGCCTATTAACCTCATTTTCTGTCTTGGATGTGGATGAAAAATCCTTTTTTCAGGGGCATTAGCAATGATGAGAAAAATCATATAAGAAAGAAGTTGCTGTTACACTTGCGAGAAGAAAATACTCAGGTGATGCTTAAATAGGTTGAATTTAATATGCATATTTTAATACAAACTACAAAGAGCCTGACTATTAGTGACTTCATCTCCCTTATCATTCAGAAACTTGTTATTGTGAAGCCTAAACTAAATGTGGTGCCTAACTAAGTCTAAAACTAACTAATATGGTTTTGAATGTTCTAGCTTATAAAATTTTTAATTCTTCATTTTCTTTAATACTATATTGTGCAGATAGCACTTCAGTTGGCTGTACTTGTAGCGAAAATTGCACGTATTGATTACCCAAAAGAGTGGTATTTAATTCATCTTCTTTCTACCTTGATTTTGCACTTCAAATGCGTATTAGATTTTCCAATCGCATTTTTTATGAAGCATATTGCTTGATTATTTGCTTCTTGTATTCGTTAGCAGGTTTGATGAAGTAAATATTATAAAATGTAGAACATCCATCCTTCTTTCACATCTTAACATTTTTAACCTCTTAACGACAGACTTTGAATTTAGTTCAAGATGAAGTGAATATTACTTGATAAGGGTTTTTCTTGGAGAATTAGGTCATAATCAGCAGGATTTTTTTTTACTTTATGTGAAAGAAGATAGATTATCTTGCTTCATGGAGTTATAATGATCATGTGATGTCTGATGGAGTAAGATATGAAATCTTAGGAAAGCATTTAAATAGCTAGCTAGTGTGTTCACATTGTAAGGCTTTAAAGGATATTAATGCCTTATGTGGTATAAGGGGAGCAAGGAAGGGAGGCGGGCAGAGGTTGAAGTTGGGATACTCTAAAAACAGTGCAGCTTTATAGGAAAAGGGGGATTACAGTTTTTGAAGTATGATGGTATTAGTTGCACAATTGGCATGGCTATCCAAGTATATGTGATCAAGGAATGGAAGGTAATAGCAAGATGGACTACCTACAAAGCTGTCAAGAAGGTTTTGGGCGTATGGAAGACACCTGAATTTGTAAGAGGTAGAGATTCAACAAGTGGTAAGATAATAAAAGAAGATAATATAACAAGAATGAGAGATGATAAAACTTAAGTTGCAGCATGTTGAGAGCACATGTTTAATTAAGACTATAAATTACATTTTGCCAGCAAGAGTATGGTCAGATCTATAAGAGCTCTTGTTCTCTCAACAACATTAAGAAAAAGCTGTTAAAATGTTAACTATTTGCAGTGGGCTACCTGGATCCTTTCCCATCATAACTTAGGGCAATGCCACTGATCATGCTATGAGCAATTTATTTCTTTTAGTTGTTTCCACTAAGTTCAGAGTATTTGGTGGGAATCTATGGTAACAATCCATTCCTTGGGCTTTTCTCTTCTGTTGCCATTATCATATCTATTTTTTTTGTATCTTTAGACAAGCATTAAGAAGTCAAAACCCATAGACCTATGCTATAGTTCTTTGTCCATACCTATATGATCTTTAACTTATCCTTCCACTTACATTCATCAAACTATATATCCAACAACCCACAATACAGATTGGCTGTCCGACATTTTTTCTTGGTCTTGATTAGAGAGCCAAACTAATGAATGTTTAACATAATTGTAATGATGACATTTTTACTACTTTGTGGAAAAGCTGAACAATTTCAAGTATTCAACAGCTAACTAGAGCTACTCTTATAGCGTCGACATCATTGATCTATATTTTTTTTAAGCTCTGCTTTGTCGTAACTATCCTCTACTTGTATTTTTCATTGTTAAAATTGTTTTTCTGCCAATAAAGTGTGTTATCGTGGAGTATTCTTTTTTATTTATTCATTTCTGTTCTACTCCAATTCCCTTAAGTTGTGATACCCTTAGATGGTCTTATGTGAAGTAAGCTCATCCATTACCAAAGTGAAAAGATAAAGACTAGAATCATCATACTGTATACATACAGTTATATGAAACTTGCTGGACTCTTGAAGTCCTAACTTTAACAATAACTCTATCATACATATCTTTTAAAAGATCCAATAACATGCTAAAGTACGGCTGTAAAGTTTTGGTATGAGTTTTAAAAGTCAGAAGGATCTGACAATTGGATTGCACAATTATTAGTACCTGCCCCTGAATTTATGTAAGTTAGGTGACAGCTAGCAGATCAGAACACACTTATTATGCCATCTTTTTCAATATATGCTAATATATCATGTATGCTCAATCCCTCAGCACTGGTGCCATTCTGATGGTAGGATATTGGGCTTGAATTCTACAGTGAAATCAGTTTGTCTCCAAATGCAACAGCAAATTTGGTGGATTGATGAATTCCATCTGAGCTGGTGAGAGTGACTATATTGCAACTATCTTATCGTTGAAGTTGCAACAAGGGAGAGACTGATCCACTTTGTAACATATGTATCCTGGCATGAGAAATTCTTTTTTTTTTCCCAAAATTAAAGATCAACCAGGATTTAGTTTCACGTGGTAGTCAGAGTTTTGTTGAAAAACATAGGCATTGTAGGACAATTCAGATGCATGAGCCACATGTAACAAGTATCTGGCCGTGTACCATAGAATCCAGAATGCAATCATGTAATTTGTGATTTCTAAACATCTACTGAATATTTCTTCCTGAAATGTGTATACTCTCTTTCACCCTTCATGTAAGGTGATTATGTTTTGCTGCATGAGCAATCAATTCGTCATTTTTAATTGTTCTGTTTGCCTACTTGTTATTATTCAAATCAAGTTTAACTTTCTATTATGAGTATGTTTTCATTCATATGTTTGCTAGAAGATGTACATCATTGTCAAATTTTGTACTATCTGACTAACGAGAAATGTGTTTTTGATGATATTGGCTGAATATGTTGCTAATAGGCCAGAGCTCTTTTCTTCTTTGGCACAACAACTCCAATCAGCTGACATGCTAGCTTCACATAGGGTGTTCATCGTTTTGTTTCGAACTTTAAAAGAATTGTCAACAAAACGTCTTAGTTCAGATCAGAGGACCTTCCAAGAGGTATGTCTTCTTTATTTTTTACATGATCTAAAGTGGGCACATAGTTTGCTTCTCTGTGGTGTGCAAATGCTCCAGTTCAGTGAACAAATGGATTCATTTCTGTAAACATGTTTTTGTCTTTGGCATATAATATCTTACAAAGGTATTTTTCTCTTGTGATGCAACAAATATATGCAACTGGCATTGTTTATGGTTTGTATGGCCTACTCCTTTCCTGGAAAAAGTTCAATTCTATAATTACAGACCATAGGCCATAGTCAATTGCATATATGGAGACCATTGGGCCTATGGTAAAGATGCTTTGCACCAAATTGGGTCTAAAGGGTTCAAGTTATAGAAATAGTCTCTCTGCTTTTTAAGACTTGCGTACATTTGACTTTAAGATTGCATTGGCTGGAGTATTGTCCACACGATTGCCTTTACTCATGGAGTGTGGACATGTTCTTTTGTTATTATATTATGATATGTTATCTCAAAATAGTGTTTATTGTTGATATTCTTGAGCTAGATCATCATTTTTTCAGCACATTTTTAGTACTGGTCATGTGTCAGTATAGTGTGTGTGGTACCCAGTCTTACCTCTATATTTAGAGAGAGGCTGTTTCTATGACTGGAACTCTTTATCTCTCAAGTCACAAAGGAGCAATCTTACGATTGTACTAAGGCCCGCACTCGTTTGATTTTGGAAAATTCTAAATGATAGTGCATAGTTAGAGCTTAGATTGATTAATAATTTGAAGCTAGTGACTTCCTATATTGTAGAGTCTTATGAAGGATGGATCTGTAGAAGGATATGATGTAAAAAAGTCTGCAGATCTGGGTTTCAAGAACTGAACAAGAAAAGCAAGGGTGCAGTGGGTCTATCTTCATGAGGATTTGAGGAAGATGCCCAAACCAAAGCCTCCTAACTTGGTGCTAATTTGAACAGGTTCACATTATGCCAAAAGAAATCCAAATAAACTAATTATTGGCATGAGTCATGCCTAAGCATGTCTAAAAACTGAAAGTAGACATCTGATATAGATTTAAAATACAATACAGATAAAAATTTATAATCTAGATTCTAGAATATGATTGATTTTGGTCGAGGTCAGGTAGCTGCGTTGGTGTTGGTACTTGGTACAACATGCATGCTATATTGTTCTATGGTTACATATCTATGTAACAACATACTTCGGTGAAATTTGACTTCCGGCTTTCATGTTCAAGAAATGGCATACTAATTTTGCAATTTTTTTTTGTTTTGTAATTGCTTGTGCAATATTTACTTTGTTTTTATGTTTGGCTTAGCCTATCCATGCCATGTGCCAGGAATGTTCCACAGGCTATCTTCCAGACCATGTGCCTGCACTTCAATCCATGTTTTTTCAAACTAACTGCACGTCCTTTTGACAACAGTTCTTATCTTCCGAAATGGAATCTCTTAAGCGGAACTGAATTTCATATACCGATTCATAATTTGCATCATCATGCTATGTTGGATAGCATCAGTCTCATTGATTTCTGGTGGGTTTTTCCCAACTTGATTGCCATCTAATCTACAATGGACCTAGTTCAGCTCTAAAGATCCCTATGGTAGGGCAACTTCAAACGTGGATTTGCCCAAGTGCAATATTGCGCTTTAGCTTGCTATTTGTGTGCCTGAAATGACGACCTTCAAAGTGACTTATCCACTTATTTAAAAAAAAATATCGGATCTATTTTGTTTGTGTGTCATGGCTCTGCAGTTTTAGTGAGTTTGTGATATCTAAACATCAAGCCTCTAAGCTTGATAAAATTCTTGTCATTCTCCACAATGCTTTTGTTATTATTGGTGATCTGATGCTAGATAATTTGAAGATATTATGGTGGAAGTTGGGGTAATGTTTTGTGTCTGCTATATTCTTTGTTCATCTCATTTGCAAAATTGTTGTCATGCTTTTGAGTTATGATATGCTAGTAGCATATCATGACTTCTAGGTACAAGAATTTACTTAATGACTTCTAAATGGTCAACTACATTTTACTTGTTTTGCAGATCGCCTCACAGTTGTTTGAGTACACTTGGAACCTTTGGAAGAATGATATACATACTATACTGCAAAGCTTTTCTACTATTTCGCAATCCATTACCATGAACTCATTGGTGGAACAAGGACATGATTTGCTTTTGGTTTGTGAAAGATGGTTTCTGTGTCTGAAGATCATTCGCCAACTGATTATTTCTGGGTATCCTAGTGATACAACAACTGCACAGGTTAACATGCCTCATTTTAAAATATTTTTAGTATGCCATTCTCTTGTTTCGTTCATGATCAAAAGATTTCTGACCTTTTATTCAAATTTAAGGAGGTCCCGCTGGTGAAGGAAGTTTGTCCAGTGCTCTTGAATGCCATTCAATCATTTCTTCCCTATTGTAAGATGCTCCTCTCATTATTGATAGTTATTTTTAATCATGTTTTTTTTATATCTCTTGGATTCTTTTAGCTGTAATATTAGTTTTTGAACGTTTGGCCCTTCTATTCAATCATAGTAACCTTAACTTTGAGCATTTGTCATCATCTTTTAGATTTTCATTTCCTCCCTCACTTTTTTAAAGGTATATTTTTGAAGTTGCTCTCATCATTATTCAGACTACTGGGGTTTCTCTATTGACATAAAGTTTAGGAACTTATTTGTTGTATTTTCATTTTTAGTTTGCTGGTTTAAACATTTTTCTGTTTGGAAGTGTAAATGCTTCCTTAGTGGGTTAGATTCTTGTTGACTGTTCACTATATTAACTTGCTGGTTTAAACAATTTTCAATTTTGTAAACTTCAAATTCTTCCTTGTTGGGTTGGATTTTTGTTGAATTTCAAATTTGCTGGTTTAAAGTTTAAACAATTTTTTTATTTGGAAATCGTAAATTCTTCCTTGTTGAGTTAGTTTATAGACAATCATCATACTTGAATCTTTTTTTTCAATCACCTTTTATAAAAGAGAGTATGCTTTTGTTAGTATATACACATATTGTAAGATGAATAAATTTTTTGATTAATCCTATTCAGCCACCTCTATCTAAATGCATACTTTTTTCATGGTCTTCTACATCAAGTCAATTTATTGTAGGCTTTAACATCATTGGTTTGGCCTTGAACGTGCATGTATTTGGTCCATTACGGTGTATCGGCATATGATATCTCGTAATGTACCATGGTACTATTCTGTTTTTATTTTGGGGGGGGGGGGGGGGGGGGTGGGGAGAGAGAGAGTGCAGGAGATGTACGGTAGATGAGGCACGCGGGCAGGGGTGCATGGTTGTCATGTCACCTGTGGGTGGCACATAGGATAGGAGACACTAATGAGGAGTCGCACTACCAAATGCATTGGTCATGGGCATTTAAAAGAAAAAAAAAGGAAAACATCCTTAAATGAAAGCAAGGGATAGGACCGACCACATCCCATGTAAACATGGATCGGTATTTGGACGGAATTGATTTCCTTGCACAAGAGAGAGAGACAGAGGACAAGGGAAAGAAGTGGCCACGTGTAAAATCTTCTTTAACTCCATCATTTGTAATTTTTATAACTCAAACTTGGAAAAACTTGTGTTCTCTTAAATTGGCTGGCTCATCATTTTTATCAGATTGCTAGTAGTTGGACACTAGAACTCTGAATTTTGTTTGTAGATTTTTTGTGTGTAAAACTATAGAAGTTCATTTGACATTGATTAGCTCACATGACCTAATTATACTTCCAGTCATGGTTCGAAATACTGCTCAGAACCAGTCTGTGGACGAGAACTTTTCATCTGGTCTGGTCCGTTTTGTAGGTTGCCACCCAGTAATTTGGTTCAAATTTAGGGTTTAGAGCATGATTTGTAATACTGTACCATACCGCTCGGTACGGGCGGTACATACTGGTCTGATAGAGGACCGATACTGGCGGTGCATCAGTACACTCTAGTGTACCATGTTTTGGTTCGCTCGGCTCGGTACGTATCGTACCGACAACTGATCGGTACACCGGTTCGGTATGGTATTCAGAACCTTGGTTTAGAGTTTGTAACACCACCCTCTCTCTGCCACCTGTCATTGCCCAAGTTAACCTGGTACACTTTTTCTTCCTCCTTTCTTCTTCTTCCAGTTACAGTGTGTTGGTAACCGAAATTTTGAACTATGCTTCTTGTAGATCTTTTAAAATCCTTTTCTTCTGTTATGCAACTTAAGAGAGCATAAACAATAGGCCATGACTTGTGCCAAAGCTAATATCACTCAGCATGATGTAAATGAAGCTCAAGCCTAGTTTCTGATTTAGGTGCAACTGTTGAATAGCTTTGGATATTTTTTCCGAGGCAAAGAGCACTACAGTTTTTTTTCAGTTACTTGTATCAGTAGGCCCAAGATGTTTTTCTTTCTTGGATAAGAGTGTTTTTATTAAGCAATTGGTGTTTATAGAACGTGTACCTGAATTACTTAATGGAAGTTGGATACCTTTTATTCTTTATTGCTAATTATATTGCATAATGCAGACTCTTTATTCCAGGAACGACAAGTTAGATTATGGGACTTCACAAAACGAACATGTACAAAATTAATGAAAGCATTAGTTGCAGTGCAATCCAAGCATCCATATTCATTTGGTGACCAAGCCATCCTTCCAGCTATAGTTGATTTTAGCTTGAATAAGATAACAAATGCAGAACCCACAGTTTCATTTTTTGAGCAGTTTCTGATTCAGTGCATGGTTTTGGTTAAGTCTGTATTAGAGTGTAAAGAATACAGGCCGAGCCTCACTGGTCGTGTGATCAATGAAAGTGAGGGCTCCTTGAGTTTGGAGCAAAGGAAGAAAAACATTTCCACAGCTGTTGCTGGCATACTTAAAACCATTTTGCCAAGTGACCATGTCATACTGCTGTGTAATATATTGATAAGAAGGTACTGGGATTTATGGTCTTTATTTTTACCTATATCAAGTTTATGCAGTAAATGATTTACACTATCTATGTTTTTCTTTCATCATCTTTTCACTGATACTTACATGAGTTTCTTTTATCTATTTAATTTAGGCATGACTTCAGCTCAAATGTTTTGTTTTCATCTGTTCATGAGTTAAGACTATTCTTAATTATTTAGTCATTCATTTTGATATTGTTGGTTTATCCAACCTCTTCTTTATAAAAGACATCATATTTTTAATGTTTCTTGGCCTCAGGCTGGAAGATATTTGATTGATGTTCATTTATTGGAACGAGTCAGACGTCTTCTGGATGTCAATCATCAACTCTTTTGATGAGTTTCATCAGAACCTCACAGATGATATTGCATTTTTGAACAATTGTTATGCAATGTTTCCTCCTTGGTTGTAGCTTAACTTGCAACTGTTAGGAAGAAAATTAATTTTGCCAGTTGTATTTATATTTCTGGTTCAAGGTTTCTTTTTTCTCATAAGTTCGTTTACTTCAGTGCCCATAAATTGTGTCTGCACTCCAGAGCATTTTGTGATGAGACCAAGTTTGTCTTTGAAGTTGAAAGTTCCTTCTTGATCTATCTCTCAAATTACAAATATCGAATGAGGTCTGGACTTATGAGTTTGGCCCTTGTTGTGAACATATTTTTTCTCTGCTAATAGGTTATTGAAGTTTGATGAAAGTTGTGCTTTGTGACATTCAACAATCTATAAGATAGGCCCAGGGCTAGGATGCAATGATATGCAGAAGTGCTGATTCTAGTCTTATCTTCAAAGTCGGTCGTTGTGTGATGTGCTGGAAACAGCTCGACCATGTCTGAGTTTGAAATGGAAGAAGGTTGACCCAATTTGAGGTGCCAAGGAGGTGACTTCTTGACGTGATGTCGAGGTGCTCCTGAGGTGCCTGCAAGAGAAGATTATGTCTGGTGTTCTTGACTCTGTTCTCTGATGTTTAAGTTAGTGTGGAGTCTGAAGTGGAGTGGTTCAGGGCTTTGAGGAGTGAGGAGAGAGAAAAAGATATGCTATTTGTAGTTAAGGCTCCATAACCCCAAGTGGTTAGGGAAATATTCAGAGAATGTTTTCTGTTAGAATGGTCACAGATGTGGTAGATTAAGCCTAACAATCGATGAGGTGGCAGATTCAGCATAATAAATTTTGTTGTTTTATGCAACGTTGTGGCCCATGTTGGGTCCATGTGTCAAGTTTGGGGAGGAAGATTTTGTCCTTACCTATTATGGTGGTCTAGCAGGCTAGTATAGTATGTACGTGCGGATTGAAAGATGGGCATGCATGGCAGTCTCCAAGAAAAAGAATACAATAGAAAAGAGGAAGAACTATGAACAATGGGATAGGAGGGGGGATTTAGCTAAAAGCAATGAAAATATCTTATGACACTCAACTCAGAGTAGAATTAAAATAAATTCCAGCAATAAGTGTTTAGATGCCAATCTTTTTTAATAAAATCACAATATAATTTATCCTTAAATTGAGCCATGCAGACTAAGAAGTAACTAAGATGTTCAAGAAAGTTAATTTGGGACAAAGTCATACCAAAGATGTAATACACTATCATTAATTTGAATTAAACATTTTGGGCAAGTAGTATAATCTCAAGAAATTAATGGGTTAGTTATTCCATTGAGTTGAATCCTGATAAATGGTATTAGTGCTAATCTACTATTAGGTTCAAGGAAGAAAGGGATAATATGGACGGGCTAGAGGGTACATCATAGCGTGGAGTCACTGTAGTGTTCAGCCTCACTTGCATCAAGCTAGGGTCTAATTATAGGTCATACTATTTCTTGATGAAGATGTTAAGTTCTTAAGTAAGAAAAATAGTAACACCTTGTTTAGTACCATGTTGGAAGTGTGCTAAGACTTAAATTGACTTATAAAAACTGTGCTTAAGTCTGTTATCCTATCGGGTTGGGTTGTTAGAACATAAAATAAATATCAAAATTTTTCTTTATTCGTTATCGTGTTCGAGTTCAATACTTTTCATGGATAGGACTAAGGGATCTAGAGCTCAGCTTATCTCAAGGTTTAAGAATTCATTAACACTGTGAGACAACCTGTACTAGTGACAGAACAGGTTTGTAAGTGTTTTTTATTATCTCTCAGTAGATATCATAGATGGGCTTTGGGGCTGTAGACGGACTTTTGTGGCTAATTCATATCGGTTGTGGCTACTGAAACTACAGCCATGGGGTTGGGGCAGAAATGTTAGATGGGAAGAGAGACAAAATAAAACTCTTTCTTCGGAGATTCCTTCACTGATTGATCTCTATATTCATGTTCCCAGTAAAGAGTATGTGATAACCAGCAAAGGAAAAGAAAAAGAAAAATTATTTGAGACACACTCTAAAGGTGTCATTTCCTGTAGCACTTGTTTATTTTAGCTTACTCCAAAAAGCCTCATGCCCTGTCGGTCCTTGTATTTAGGAGAATAGTTGGGGAAGAATGTATTCTTACTTATTGATAGCTGTCATATGCCTGAATTCTTGGTGGCAGATATATTAATAGTACAAGATTTTTTGTTGGTCAAAATGTCTGTGTAAAACTAATGATAAGTGTATTGTAGCTGTTTGTAGAGTAGAAGATAGAAGAAAATAGCTTCAAATTAGCAAGTAATCTTGGAAATAGATCTGTTAATTAATGCCATTTCTTTTTTTAATGTTGGATATCGATCTGTTAATTAATACCATCTCTCTCGAACACAGAAAGAAAAGAAGCAAGGGCCACAAAAATATTTTTCTTTATTTAATGCAATTTCTTTGTGACCTCACTGATGCATGCTTGAGCACCTGAATGGTGCCCGATCTTTTAGTTTGCTTTCTATGGTGCTTTCTTGAGGTATCATTTGTTGATTTTTTCTAGGTACTTCATTTTCTCGGCAAAAGATATGGATGAATGGTATCAGAATCCTGAACAATTTCACCATGATCAAGATATGGTTCAGTGGACAGATAAACTTAGGCCATGTGCTGAAGCATTATATATTGTCCTCTTTGAGAACTATAAACAAGTCAGTTTACTTCTCATCCTGTTTATCGTAGACATATCTGTAAATGATGACTAATCTTTAATAACCTTTGATTTGTGTTCTCAGATCCTGAGTCCTGTAGTTATTTCCATTCTTCGTGACGCGATGAGTAGCTCCCCACCATTAGAAACCGAAATATCTTCTGCAATGCTTCTAAAAGATGCTGCTTATAGTGCTGCTGGGCATGTTTATTATGAGCTCTCTAGTTACCTCGACTTCAGTGATTGGTAATGTTCACATCTGGTACATAAATATTCATATTGTTTATCTGTTTTACTAGTCCAACCAGATATTTTGCAGAGAACATATACATTTCCATGTTTATGAGTTTATTACACTTTATTTTTCGACCAATGTTTGCTAGAGTAGTTTCTGTATATGTGGGATTAGACCTTTCAATTAACCTAAAGCTACCTACTTGTTCTTTTCACCTTTCTTTCCAGTTTGAAATTGTTTGCTCTCCTTTACATAGCTAGGCATTTTTTTAAACAAATGATAAGTGGTGAAGAGTGGATCTGATCCTAGGACCTTGGAATGAATGACAAAGTCTTTATGTAGATGGCACCGCTGTAGCTTAGCTTCTATGTAATATATTACTAGTTCTTAAATTTGTTGCTATATTAAATAATCCATATTATTCTTGAAGTCAAAGTTGCTTCTCCATCTACTATTACCTTTGGTTTTAAATTTTAACAATTCAAGGATAATTGTTGTGCCATTACTTGGTGATTATTCTCAGCTGATGCAGGAAATACTCCTTTAGGATTGGTTGTGATTTGTTAACCGATAGAAATTTGCTTTGAAGTCTGATTTTGATTTGTAAGCTATTGAAATCTGTTGATTACCTGTGAACACAGCATATATTAGCCATTTCATGTGAAGCAGCAAGAAAGGAATAGGCAAGTGTAGCCTAAGAGAGGGAAGAGACTAGAGAGAATAAAGCATGAAGAAGAGGAGAAAATGAAGAAAGAGAACCTGAGAAATAGTACCAGGAACCACATTCATTTTACATTCTGTTGCTTTCCTTTCCTTGAACCCTTTATTGAAGGGACTTCACTAATTCCATACCTTGTTATATTAGAGAACTTAAAAGTGAAAACAATATTTACTAGTTGGCTGGATTACTTATTAAAAAAATGCATACTTCTGTTTGATGAGTGATGAAACCACTGAGAAGTTTTCAATATAGCAAGGGGTGAGTATTAGGTTTCTAATATACTGTAGGCCCCTAATATGGCCATGCATATATTGTTTTAATTTTAAACTCAATTAGTATTCAGTAAGTTAATTAAGTTCATTTGAACAACCTGGACCTGATAATATATAGACTCAAGAAAGAAACTGTGGCGCTGACTAAACTCCAATTACAAATTTCTGTCAATGACAAATTGCTTTGGAGAAGCTTCAATTTTAGGTGCATCACATGTTCTGCAGAATAATGTTTGCAATTTCATGCCTGCTCACTATTGCTGTTATCATATCATCTCCATGACTTATTCATCATCATATCCTCTATTGTATGATCTTTGCGAACCTGAGGCGTTCCTCAGTCCTACCATTGGTGACTGGATAAAACTTTCTCAAGATTCTGTTCAATGTCCGTGTGTGCTTTTACATCATGTTGTTAGTCCATCCGTCACAAAATTATTCTTTGTGCATGGAACCTTCTCTTATTATTATTTTTTGTGTTAACATTCACAGGGTGATTCTTTGCTAATATAGGTTGCTGAATAATTTTTTGCTAACAATGCAAATCTCAAGAACTTTGTTTTCTTGTGGTGCATGCTTGTTCTCAGTGTGCTATATCTACAAAGAAGCATAACCAAATTTTACTCATGGTGCAGTTGTTGTTGCAACTTTTCAAAGTTATTGCTGCAATATTTATGTACCATTTTCTTGTCATAGTGCATTATGCTTCCATTTATGGGAAGAGGTGTTCTTTTCCTTTTATCTACCTTGGCCTTGTTGTCCATGTTGTTAGCTGGAAATACCATGCTGACGGTGGCACATGCAAGCTATTGATTATGTTGCTGCATTAATGTTCGTCTCAAATACTTTCAAAATAGTGAGAAGATAACTTCCACCTCCCGCAAAATTAGTATACTTTACAGATTTCTTTGACATCAATATTTCATTGTTCTGCTATCTATAAGGTTACATTCAAACTATATGATGTTTTGCATGGCTTATTATGTTTGTCCTGCATGCTTTATGTACAGGTTTCAAGGATCTCTGGCTATTGAACTTTCCAACAACCATCCAAATATGCGCATTCTTCATCGAAAAATTGCATTCATTCTTGGACAGTGGGCTTCTGAGGTTAAAAGTTATTTCTTATTATTTCTTTTGTAGGATTTTTTTAATTGTTGTACATTAGGTTTGAAATAATATCTCGTCACGGCATCATATGGATCATGTTATCTTTAGTGCTGTGTGTGATTACATTGCGATGCATGACTAGAATTTTTGTTGGAATCTCCTTAGCATGATTAGTTTCTTACTTTCTTAGTCTCTTATCTTTATTGATGCTTGTGTCACTGAGAGCAAGGAATGCATTTCTTTAGCTGCATTGTATGTGTTTTGAAATGCAGGCAATCCTACACATGTGAGCTGCTGGGAAGAAAAGGGAGAACAAATAAGAGAGGGGGAAACCATGAATATGGCCTCCGGCTAGCACTAGTGACCTCTACTATCATGCCCTTTTCTTCTCAATGACATATGGGAAGACCGAGGCTTGTACGGTTCCTGACACTTTAAATTGAGGGAAAATTAACTCGTATAAAGGAAGTTTGACTTCATTTAGAATTGGATAGGCATAAGCTAAAAGAAGGTTAGAAAATAAGAAAGGATTGATCTCTCCATAATATTCAAATCACTATGCCTGATACGTGGTAGTTCAAGGAAACCTTGTTCGAGAGTATATAATTTTGTGCAGTCATTTTAGTTTGTCTTGCGATATAATGCAACACTTGATTTGGTTTTCTGAAACTGTATTTTACTTTTTTAGTGTTAATAGTTCTTGTTGAGTCTTAAGATATTCAACAATTAACATACTATGATTGAATTTATGTTACTTTGGGACTGCAAGTTATTAGGGCATATGTATTGTGAACAGGTACACAGCTGTTTTTGGTTATATACTTAACTTTCTATTTCTTGTTGTTTTAATATGGTCTAATGCACTTCTTTGTTTGAGAGCATTGCAATATTGCTTATTGCCTACTGAGCAAGCTTCTAGATTTTTCTTAACATGTCAAAATGCATTTATATTTTTAGCTGGGTCGAAGTTCCTTGGTGAAAAATACTTTGTCCCAATTTTGCTATAAATAAGTTCAAATGTACCATGTTGGCATCCTTGAGTTCACCCACCAGGACATGTCTGCAGGCTGAGTGTGATATACTGAGTGTTAAGGGATGCCAATTTTGTACATCCTCATTGAGTGACTAGCTTGCACCTCTGGAATTATCTGTATAGACTCAATGGAACTACTTGCTCAATAGCATAGATGAAACACACTGTTGATCATGTGTCTTTAACATGCCAATGTAATCCATAATCAACTTTCAATGCAAGACTAGTTAGGGTATCACAATCTCTCATTTAGACTTGGTTTCCTTGTCAAAGCTTAACATAGGCTACGGACATTCTCTAGTATGTGACATATGGGATGCACTGATGGCTCGCTGCTATGACGTGCCTCTTGCAACATTTCCTACTGGGCCAGCTGATTCCATTCTGTGATACTAGGTCCACCTTAAGCCATAATCATGATACATTCTGGACCTATTAATTTTATAACTTGAATAAAACGGGGCTTTAATGTCACTAGTATGTCCAGTAAGGCTTTACAGCAATCCAGTCATCACGAATCAGTGCATGGGAATGTGGAGTGTACAAAATGACTCCTATACTGAAATGTAAATATCATGCATGGGACAAATGAGACATAGGATTTAGAAAATATTTGTTGCAAATTAGCGCATGCAAAATTTAGATATTTCTTGGACCCCAGCTACAAGGAACACAAAATTACTGTTGCAAATCTTTGTTATTGAAAAATTCTTGAATATTGTGAGAAGTTGGGATGCAATATGGGTCTTGGAGGAGACTATAATATGGAGAGAGAATACAAGGTGTAATACTATTGAAAGTGTGATTAATTAAATTGTTTATTATGAGTGTGAATCCAGATGTTCAGGTTATATCTCAAGATATTTATTGCAATATGGCTTCTTGCTGTTCTTTAGTTGTGGTCTGCATACTCATGAACATGTTCAATTCTTTGTTGATTTAAAAATTCTTCTCATTAATGCATCTGCAAATATCTTCTATAGCACCAAATTGTTTGCTTTTACCCTTCTAATTATTGTTCTCTCTTAACAGATTAAAGATGACACTAGAAAGCAGGTGTACCATGCTTTAATCAGATTGCTTCAGGACAATGACATTGCTGTTAAAGTATAACACCATCCCTGGAACCTGCCTTTCAGTTAATTGTCCACATTTGAACCATCTAAAAATAAAACTACATTATCTACAATATAACTTGATTCTTTGTAAATGTTTTGCTTCTCACAAAATGTATTACCTGCATTTCTTTTCAGCTTGCTGCCTGTCGGTCTTTATGCTATCTTGTTCAGGACACTAATTTTTCTGAAAATGAATTTTTCGAGCTTCTACCAGCATGTTGGAACTCATGTTTCAAGTTGATGGAAGAAGTTCAAGAGTTTGACTCGAAGGTCTGGTATCTCATTTCCCTCAGTGTTCCTTTATTGTGAGGCCAGCAGATTAAATTAGGACAATTTTCTTGTACCATGGTTTAGTAACATCAGTATAGTTCTTTTAATGCACTACATTTGATAGGTTCAGTTATCATATGCATACAGGAATGTCTTTGACCCTTTCAGTCAGTAAATAGTTGGGACACTTCACTTTTGAACTAAGTTTTTGTTGGTTTATGAAAATAATTCAATATTGCTTGAATATGACTTTTCTATTTCTCCCTTTCTGGGACACCAGGAATCAAGAATGTTGTGATAAGGATCAGCTCTAATGCCACTGAATTTGGAATTCTATTGATAAGAATCATTGGGATTTGTTATGCCTAAATTAAAGTTATGTGCATGAAAAACTGAATAATTTTTTTGATTTCAAATTGAAATCTACAAGCAAAGCTCAAGTGAACTTTCATTTGATACATGCAAGAACAGTTGATCATAAGCAAATGTAGCATAAATTTTCTTTTGTTGGTTACATAATGATTCATCTACTAGTCAATAATTCAATATACAGATTGCTAACAGAGTTGTTTAGACTTGAAGCAACTGTTAAGTTTGAAAAACATTGAAAATGTGTCATGTTTTTTTTTTCAGCCTGAAGAACTTCAGATTGTCTAGTAAGTAGTAAATTCCATACTCTGCAGCATACCAGACTTTTGCGTATAATTTATTTAATAATTTTAAAAGAATAATCAACAAAATAAACAAGATATTGCTTTAAAAACAAAATCAATAGGATACAGATTCTTGCCATGTTGGATGCACTACTTCTAATTAGTGTCTCGTCAGCCACTTTGCTTTTGGGAGATTCAGTAAACCTGGTCTGTTTGTCCATGAATTTATAAGCAATTTTCTGCATGAGAATGGAACTGGAGGTTACAATATGAAGGTTATTGCTTAATGGTTAACTTTTTACAAATTTTATTGATTCTAACCATATGACATTTGGAAAGCTCATGTATATATTAGCAGAAAAGTTGCCAGATTCCATTGAATTGCAGTGTCTTCATTGTGTAACTTGGTGTCCATTTAATGGTGATGACTGTCTGTAGGTTACAATTTTTTGTTACGTTGGGGCTAGCACTACTGGCTGGGAGATTTTTTACCCTTTTCTCTTTCTCTTTTTGCGGGAGTAAATGAGATTTGCTTGAGCTGAGATTCTTACACTTATTATCTCTAACACTTCTTTTAGGTACAAGTGTTGAATTTGATTTCTGTTCTAATTGACCATGTCGGGGACAGAATTTCGCCTTATGCACATCAATTGTCCAATTTTTTCTGCAAGGTATGGTTCTATATAGTTCATTAGTTCTCTAATATCATTTTTCTGTGGCATATAAAACATTTGATTTTCCAAACAACTTGTATATGTGGTGGCAACATGAGAGTTAATATTTTAGATGCCTACTGCCCTAAGAAAGAGTTACTAACTGTGATGCTTGCTATGATTCCAAACATACTGTAGTCTTTAAGCTCAACGAAGATCACCATTATGGATAACTTAAGTAGCAGTGTTGCAGATGAGTGACTATACCATAATATATAGACATTTATGCATGTTTATAAAAGTTAAGACCAATCTCTTTTACCAATTCACATATTGTTAAAACTTAAAACACATATGGTTTGTTCCTGTAGTCCTCTTGCTTTAACTTTTTTAATGTATATTATGTAAGATGGAGTTGTTGACATTTACTGTTTGGAGTTCTTGATACGGAACAACACAGTCTGGTACTAGGACTGGTAAATACTGTGGGTATGCTCCAGTCCAATGAGATTCAATCCTATATAAGTTGAATCTAACCTATAGGAGAATGTGATGTGAACATTTGTAGTAAGAAGTGAATAGTCCTAATTGTGTTTGGATTAGAGATTGTTATATTAACGAGTCAATTTATTCTCCAAGAACTTTTGGCAATTTTTTTGATGGAAAGCTTCAAATTGGTAACTGAGATCATACATTATAACATTTGTTAAGAGATATTTCATACATTGGCCTTTGAATTTATCTTCTCTGTTGACACTTTATGCAGCTTCAAGTATGTGATTTTCTTTAGGTGATGTTGACCACAGGAAAATTACTCCATGACTAAATTGCTACAACATTTTGTTGTTGCATTCATGTTCTCTGTTATCCTTCTTCAGTGCTACAAGTTATTTTGTTTGATCTATGCTTATTGTATTATGAATGTTATTCCATGTTGTGTCAGTTGACCTTTTCTTGATACTATTTATTCTGTACAAATAACTTAGATTTTTCATGATTCTGGTTTTTCTTGAAGGCAAATGATTATGGTTTTAGTGGTACTAACAGATCTGGGAGGAGTCAGCTGGTGAAAGTTTACTGCAAATTCAGCTTCTAGTAGCACTTAGAAATTTTGTCGGTTCTCTTGGTTACCAGTCGTCGATTTGTTATACAATGCTTCTACCTATTCTGAAGAGTGGAATTGATGTTGATAGCCCTGATTCTCTCAATCTTCTAGAGGACAGTGTCTTGGTAAGTTACTTTTTCCTTATTGAAGCTTTGGGGAAGGCATTGCTGTTGCCATTTCCATTGTTGTGGTTTTGACTTTTTGTTGCCGATGAACATTTTCAGCTATTGGAAGCAACACTTTCGAATGCTCCATCAATGATGCCTCAATTGCTAGATTTCTTCCCATATCTGGTGGTTATACTTGAAAGAAGCTTTGACCATTTGCAGGTTAGTTTATTTGTAGACATAACAGCATAAGAATGGTGATCTTTGAGGACTGTTTTACTTAGATATGCTTTTCCGTATCTCTACTTCAACTTGACATTATTGATATCCCAATGTATGTTATCTATCCAGGATCTTGCATTACTTTGCACTCCAACTCATGGACGGTGAACTTTGTACAATTCATTTTTTGTCGATTATATGTACCCTTACAATAATCTTTTTCTCTATAAAACCTTGTGATTTAGTAGATCCATGCATCTGAGCAGTGCCTTTGGTGCTACCTTATGAACTTATATTTGTACATTGGAGATTGTAAGTAGAAGAATTAACATAGGAACTGGAACTGCTTTGGTGGATGGGACCTTAGATCATGGATATCTGCATAAGGGGATTCACTGGAAAGCTAGAATGCATGGGTACACTACTCAAATGGTGATCTTGAGGAGGTTTCGTTGACATACCGACATATATACTAAATTAAATCCTTGATTTGGGAGTAACGCAAAAATATGGGACATTTGCTGACATTTTTCTTTTCTTCGAGGCCATTTATGTATGCTATGTCAGGCTCTTAAAATAATATGGGATTTCTTTTTGAGCATATGTCCTGTTAGATATAGAAATTAGAGTAAAATTCAATTCTTATTCTTGGTATAAACTGGAAAGCTATCTATATATCTTTTTCCATCAGTTAGTTTTTCTGTTTTTCCACACTGATATGGTACAATAAATTCAATTCACTATTGCCATTCATATGTTGCAAAATTTTTTAAGTGTTTTTGATTCCAGGGCAATCTATACAATTGTGGCCCATGGTGGGAAACTTTGTTGCATGTAAAACTTTTTTTTTAATATGATTTGTCTTATCTAATATTATTAAAGTGTAGGTGGCTACTAGTATTATTGAGGACTACATTATCTCTGGTGGCGTAGAGTTTCTCAATAGGCATGCTTCAAGTCTAGCTAAACTACTTGATGGAATTGTTGGGAATGTTAATGAGAAGGGGCTGCTTTCAACTCTTCCAGTCATTGATATCCTGGTCCAGGTAGTCTCATATTAGTTTGTTTTAATCTTATTAGTTTCATTTGTTGTGTCAGACATATTCTTCTGCTGTGTGCTGCTGCTACCATTGGTGCATTGTGCTTTAGCCTTATGGGCCATCCATAATGGCTTTGTCCATGTCATGGTTCTCCATTGGACTGAAATTTACAGCCTGGCTTTAGATGGGGATCACCTTCAGTCTCCAAATTCTGGCCGGATAGTGTTTTAGCTGATGCTGGATATTAAGCTTTTTGGCTCATTGAAACCCAGGTTTAGCATGTTATTTCATGACAATTAGATTCTCCACTTGAAATACTATAAGTGGTGCTTTATAGTTTATACCCAATAATACTGTTGTTTGCAGCATCTAATCATCCATATGGTTTTTTTAGCTATTGATTTGAATGCTTAAATGTGGCTAATGAGTTTTAAATCAAGCTCATTTGATCTGTAGTGCTTTCCTATGGAGGCCCCTCCATTGATTGCTGGAGTTCTTCAGGTACATGAATCTCTTAGTGGATTGTCATAGTATGGATTAAGTATTATAGTTGGGACATATATGTACTAGTTATAACTCAATATTATTTTCTAGAAACTCATCCTTATATGTTTGAGCGAAGAAGATGATCATAATCCTTCTAGGACAGCAGTGCGTGCTTCTTCTGCAGCCATTCTTGCCAGGGTCTTGGTGATGAATACCAATTATTTTGCTCAGTTAGCATCTGAATCATCCCTTGCTATGGGCCTTCAACAAGCAGGACTTCCCATCAACCAGAATATACTTCTTTGTTTGACTGATATATGGGTTGATAAGGTTAGAAATGACATGAACTTTTATGTTGCAAAGCTACTGATAATTAAAATTTCTTGTGACCAGAATTCTGACATGTACGATTGCTGTGGCCACCTTACTACTGAACAAATATGCACATCTTCATTATTTTCATCGATGATTGTTTTGTAGTCTGATATATATCTGTATGTTCATATTTTTTCTTGTGCACTGTCGAAAAACTATCTGCTACGGCTTCTGTATTTTGCACGCAGATAGGTTGCTGAATCTGATTGTACATGTTTTGATTCACATATCTGTTGTTTCGCAGACTTTCCCATTCTTGGATATGTTTCTCTATTGAGTGCATGTATCAGTAAGGAATTTTTATAGGTCCATTCAATGATTATTGCTATGAGAGAATCTCTTGATGTTTAGGTATATACGATGATGCAAATATATGATACTTTATAGAATCTTCTTGGTGTGCAGGTATAGCACTTGAAATACAAGTAGTTTTGGAGAGACAAACCTCTTTTGGATAATTCTCACAGGAATCTGTTCCTCTGTAGTTTAGAACGGCATCATGGCCACTGAAGTTCTCTTCTGGGGATGAGCTTGTTTATCCTTTGGGATGGTTCAAAGCTCAAGTAACTTCTGGATGATCTCCTAGCTTAAATCTATCCATTCTGCTTTAATAACCATTCTTTTTTCAGTCAGCACTTTGACACCTAATTTGGCATTATCAAATTGCTTTGGAGCGTTGAATTCTTTTTTTTTTTGCTGTCACAGGCATCTCACTTGGTGTCTTCCTCTTCTGTTTGAGATATTTCTTTTCTACTGAAGTATATGGAATTACCTTCTCAAATACCCAGACCATATATTACTAAAATACTTTCAAATATCATCTCTCTCTCTCTCTCTCTCTCTCTCTCTCTCTCTCTCTCTCTCTCTCTCCAGGAAGTCCCTTGTAAATTTTATTAGCATCTCTAGAATTTTCATGTGGATAGCACGGGAACTTTATTCACTTTGGTGAAATTTTACTGAAGGGAAGGTGTTCCTCTGATTTCCTGGTCTGCCTTGCTAATATTGACAGATTATATACATTTTTGTAGTCATTTAGCAACAGATGTCTGAAGGTAAATAATAAATTGTTTCAAGTTTCCGCTCCGAAACTTCTTTGCAGGACCTTTCGGGATATTGGAGGCATTTTATGCCACCTGTTTGGCAGTTTATTTTTGGATGATTTTACTATGCCTATTTGCTGGTTTCTTTTGAAGGCTAGAAACTCAGATATCAAGATTAAGGACGCTGTAGTTTTTTATCTTATTAAAAGGTAGTCTAGTAGTTTTTTCATGTGAAAATTATTATTCAAAGGAAGAAACTCTATACCTATCTTTTCTTCTTTGTTCTGTAAGTCGTGTTGTGTGTTGTTTGCTGTGCTTTGGTATTTACTTTTTTTTTCTCTTTTTTATCTTCCATAATCCTTTTATTTTCTTTCTGAAATGAGTTCCTGTAGTATTTTGCCACTTTTAAAAGGGTCATTTTTTTGAAGAGGGATTTTTTCATGATTCTTAAGAAAAGGGCTCATGGACAAACACAAGTTTGCTATATAACACATAAATGGGGTTTGGGCATCAGTGAAATTTGACCTTATATAATTTGCAATGGTGATATCAGTGATGAGCCTAATGTCCCTTACTACAGTCCAAGCTTCTCTACAAATGTCCACACTTTTCATGATCCTCTTACGGTATACAGACACATTGAGAAAGTAAGAAAGGAAACTAGCATGTTGAAGTTGTGCCTTGTTATAGAACATTGGATGGAGATTAGGATATGGGAAGTAGATGAGAAGCCACCTAAATGGAATTCGGCGGCTAGAATCTGTCTCTGCAGAGAGTTGAGGTGGTGCTGTGGGACTTGTTCATTTATAAATTTCAACAGTTGACAGTCTAAAGATTACAGCAACAGAGTGTTTATAAAATTGCTGGTTCACCGAATATTAAATGCTGTGAGCGGTTTTTCTATTTGCTGGTTTTAAGGCATAGTCGAAACTGGCTAAGTATTTATAGGGTTAAGCCAGTTTTACTGGTCTGTCCAGTCTAAATTCCAGAACATTGGAACAAACTATTTCTTTGATTCATCAAATATTGATTATAGCTTAATGAATATTACAAATCACAGTTAATGGTTAATTCCCTCTTTGAATTTGGCTTATTAATATGAAATATTGCATTGTTCAGCGATGTAATTTATTCTTGAAATTGCTACTTCTAAAGGCTTTGGCTTATCTTCTACATGTTTTTTTTTGTTTCAACAGATAGACAATGCCACAGTTATACAGAGAAAGGCCTATGCTTTGGCTCTTTCTGTTATCTTGACTTTGAGAGTGCCACAAGTCATTAATAAACTTGATGACATTCTAAGGTACATATATCTTCACAATTATCTTCATGTTTGCCTTACAGTACAACTTTAGTAGTATTTACCCTTGATGCAGTGTTTGTACAAGTGTTATCCTCGGAGGAACTGAAGAAATAAATGAAGATGACTCCGGGTACTATGTCTTAACCTTTTTCTAATCAATTTTGCAATTTTTGCCTCCCTTCTTTGCTTACTTTTTTCCTGGCAGTGGTGACACCACAAGCTCTTCTGCACTCAACAATGAGGCTATTGGGTACGGTGGTTTCTCAGTCAGAGACTCAAGAATGAGACAAGTGAGAGCTTCAGTTTCTGCTGTTAATGGATTGGTTTAATGTTGATTCCGCAATATTACCTAAAAATAAGTAATCTGAGGAGTATATAGTAGCATGGTTGGACACACTTTAACATAAATATCTTCTTTGCTCAGATTAAAGATTCAGATCCAATCAAACAACTATCCTTGGAAAACATGCTGAAAGAAAACTTAAAAGCATGTGCAGCTCTCCACGGAGATGCAACTTTTAATGCAGCTATTAGCAGGATTCATCCATCAGCATTTGCTCAGTTACAGCAGGCCTTAAAGATGGTTTAGAGAATTTGATATGGATTCTCCATTCTTTCCGTTCTTGTTATCTTGTGTGCCACCGAAGATTGATTGCATTGTGAGTCGTGATGTATGCAGAACCTTTTTTGTTTATAGAAGCAGTTCCACCTGCAATTAACTTTGGAGTTACTTTTTTTTTCAGGTGCTTTTTCTGGTGCATGTAGCTTGTTGATTTTTTTTCCATCCCAAATTGCATTGCGTCCATCCACCTTTTCAGCATTAAACAGAGTTGATGTGTAACAGTTAAAATCAAAAGTACTGGAAGCTACATGGCGGGTGTATATCTGGAACGATTTCTTAGCACCTTTGTCATGTGGCCCAAGAAATCAAACGTCCGTGAGAAGCAGGTAAAATTTTAGCTGTCCTGCTACATGGTGATTATTCATATTTGTATAGTTTGGGCAATGGCTGTGGAAATGGGGTTTTGACGATTTTCCATATCAGTTACGTTTTGAGGACCATTCATCAACAATGAGTTGTACTTGTTGCGATTAGAGTATCAGAAGATATATTGTGGAGCAGTTTTTTCTCCAGCAGTATTAGCATATGACATAGACATGTGGAGGAACTGCTTTGTTGTGTCGGTATGGAATTCTTGTGATGAATATTTTTGTTTTGTACAAATTGTGGAAATGGATCATTTGATCAATTTGTGTAGGTGCGTGCATGAACGAACGCATTGGAGCGTTAAAGTTGTTGCTCCATCCCTATGGGTAATAAACATGGTCGAGGAAATCCCACTCGCATCATAGCCGATGGGTAACAAACATGGTTGCTTTGATGACATCTCAATAGCTATTAGCAGTAGCCATGCCCACTCGAGTACTCTTTATTCTCGGCGTGTTGATGCTGGCTCGGTGCTCGATAACTGAGCCAAGTATTGCTCACTTGCGTCCCTTCTCAAACACTTATCGACCTTGTCGTCTGAGCTTCGATAGCCAAGATGGGATTTTAGACTCTGGCTGCCTTCGACGACATCTTGTCGAGGCTCCAAGCCTAAGCATGGCAAAACTATCGTCACCATCTCGATGATGGTGCATTCTAGCGACCACGAGTCAAACTTTGACCATGACTGCTCTCCCTGGTTGCCTTGTGAGGCCATCCAGAATGACACTCCCCACGCTCGATTGCACTCACCTGCATTGAAAATTGTCGACGCTGCTTTGACATCGACGAGCTTGGCAAAGTCAAGAACACGATCCACTATCGAGTTCTGCCCCTTGACGTCGTAGTGCACGACGCCAACTTCATGGAGGTACTGAAGCACCCCTTGATGTCGCGGTGCACTTTCTCAATGCAATACTCCAGTTATCCGTGCAAAGAATTGGGACCAACACTACAAAAGCCACTTGGATATCTAAACATTACATATACTCCCGAAGAAGCCTATACTAGAGATGAATAATCATGAGTGAGAATGTTACAAGGCAAATCCAAAACTGCAACAAGCATAGAGGCAGGTGTTATTACCAAATAATAGAAATCAAAGCATACGTTTGAAGTTTTTCTTCAAAAACAAGACATACCTGCACGGAAGGCATGCAGTTTAAATTGGCCTTGCTAGATCAGGATGACCTAGCTTGATCGCAAGACGAACACTCATATTACTGAATCCCAGAATCAGCTCGGAAATCTCAGCATCATAGATGATCGAACCAATTAATATCCTGTGCATCTTAGCCACAACCACAATCAATTATCTTAGCAGCTAGAATACTAGAGAATCACATTCGACAAATATCTGATACTTCTAATGCTTTAGACCTTGTTGAAAACTAAAGCACGATTGCCGGATGGATTTTAGAAGATCGCGGGCAAACCCTTTATTACCCATCAAAAGAGATACTTATAGATGAACTCGATGTACGTAGTTTTTTTCGTAGAGTCCGGTTACTTGATCAGCAACGGCCCACATTATAGCCTGACCAGGTGGAATCCTCATAAGCCTAGGAAGCAAACCTTTCCAAAGTGCAAACAACCCTTCTTCGGCAAATATTGTTCTGATTGCATGCACCATGCCTTTATATTTGGCATCACCACCTGTTCTGCTTTGAGCCATCAGCCTTGTCTTGACGACATCAAAGGGGCCAGTACAGATGGGCCCTGCAGTCCCCGCAAGAAACCCTGAGATCATAGACTGCCAAGGTTGAAGGACCATGCCATCTCCTTCATGTTTCTTCCAGAGAACGATGTCAAATGCATTTTTTGCCGTGAACATGGCAGCTTGGTTGGTTCCATTACGCATAACAGTCGGCGCAGCACCGGCCCAAAGACCCAAAATTCCCTCTTCACGAATGATCATCCTTGCACAATGTAGGGGACCCTTATACTTTAGAAGCTCCGGTCGCAACCCCTTTTGTTGCTGCAGCCTGATTTTCACTACCTGTATTCATGAGACAGTATAAAACGGTCGCAACCCAGTACTAGCTGACCATAAAAGGAAGATTTCCGAAAATAAATGCAATTCATACAGGTGCCAATGAACACGAAGCGTATATATCATGTGTCAAGGTATCATATATAGCCAAATGTCAAATAACCTGGTTAAAGCCAATCTTTTTCTAACTCTAATAGTTAATTACTCCACCGTTGCATCTGATCTGATCACCACAGACCCAGAGCATAGAACAGATGCTACTTGATGCTTTCAATAATCTTTGTCCCATGCTCGTCCACTAATTCATAATTAAGTAATGATCACTTTCTCAACTAAAACTAGATTAATTTCTCAGCACTAAAACATATTTGTACACCATTTCTAGCATTTCAAAGTAATTGAAATAAAGAAGAGCTCAGCCCGCTTCTGTCCAAACAAAGCCACAGTGGGTCTCTGCAAACAGGGGACTCATGGATCTTCATCGTGCCCAATGGCATTCCCTCGACATGGTACCAAAATGGACTTCCGAGAAATGGAAAAAGAAGGAACAAAGGATCTTTCGAGATAACTGACATCGATCTTTGACACCTGCTATGCTTTGCATAGCCCTTTAGCAACTTCCAGGAAAAATTCAAAGGAGCACACTATGGATTGTTCATTAAGGTTCTCACACCAATCACCTCTAACGCAACGATCTCTGATATGGTAATAACGATGCAAGCAACATGTCCTTACTATGATATACACTTGACACTTACATCCGAGGTAATAAAACTCATTTCACCAAGAAGAAAAATGTGATCTTTGAATACTATGATGGAAGTGTGTGCTGAACTAAGCCGAATGGAGAAGAAATCGACACTTTTGCTGATAACTATTGTCTGACAAGTTTTTTCAGGCACAGAAAACTGTTTAGATACATCAGCATCAGGTCATTTGCCACAAAATTCCAATTACATATGAGACTTCAGTATGTTAAAGCAATGTTCTGAGTAGCACTGCTAATCTCAATTTGGACACCAATTCGAGACCGAGCCAAGTTGTATCAATATGTAGTTGATGGGCATGAGATGAACAATAACAATTTCATGGTTCTGAGGTATCTTCAAACTCAAAGAAGGTAAGTTCTACACTGATCAAGAAACGCAATGGATCAACAAAATTATCATTGTATTGAATAGAAAAGAGGATAGAGATTGTGAATGTAACTCACAAATTAAATGAAAATTTTGATGAAAATGGATGTGAGAAAACAAAGATATGACTTCTTCCAAACCTATCTTGCGCTACTCAAATCATCAATTAAAGGACTTGCAACACCGTTCGCCAATGAACCAAGCAAACTTGGATGGGACATGTCCTCTCACAATCTTCCTAATACAAAGGATCGACATAATCTAGCTGAAATTGCAAGTATGATTAACAAGTTGGGTGAGTGGCTCGCCTCAAAGGGGGTAACGATGAGGAGGGCCTCCAGGACGCCGGCGCCAAATCCAGCGGCGATCCTACTGCGGTTGGAGAGGTCTCCAGTTGCGGCGTCCTTGAAGGCGGACTGGAGGAGGGCGTTGGACCCCATGCGGAGGGCGTACTTGAGGGTGAGGTGGGTGGCGAAGGGGGTGAGCCCCTTCCACAGCGCGCGCACCCCCTCCGTCCTCGCCGCCGTCACGCCGCAGTGCACGATCCCCCGGTACGCGCCGGTGCGGTCGAGCTGGAGCCGTGTCTTGATCACGTCGATGGGCTGCAGGCAGCACGCCTCCACGACCCCGCCGAGGGACCCCGCCACCGCCCTGATGTACGGCGGCGACGTCGAATCCTTCCGTCTACCCCTCTCCTCGGCGCCTCCATCGCCGCCGCCTTCGCTCGCGGCCGCGGCCATGGTCGCTTCGGGTGGTGGAAGCGACGAAGCAGAAGAGAGTACGAAACTCGAGAGTGAAGGAGAGGGAGACCCGGAGATGACGCCAAAAGGACCCACTCGTTTACCGCTTTCGAATGGTTATAAATTAGTGCGCCGTGGGCCCGTCGGGAACGAGATCGGATCTGGGCCGTTGGTGCGGTCCAGATGACGACGGGTAGCCTTTCGAGGAGGCGACTTTGTTTATTGAGTGAGGATCCGTTCTCCACGTCGCTTTCTCATGTGAACCGTCCGATCAAGATTGGAGGCTCACGATGTTCGGAGAACCATCTCTTTCGACTGCTGCGCACGACGAAGACAGAAATGGACACGTGGTGGATTATTGTGGAATCTTCGTACGAACCGTCGCTCGCACGAAACTTTGTTGGGTAAAATTTTCAAAGAAAACCTTCTATTTTTAGTTTTTTTCCTTATTTAACACCTCACTTTTTATTTATTGTCACGTTGACTGACACCTTCATATATACCTTTGCCCTTGTCATCGTCCGCATGGATCCGATGCAAAGTCTCGTGACTGTTGTCGTTGATGTCGTGGTGAACACTAACGAAGATGTTGGTCGTAGAAGAATCTACTACTTCACCTTGGGTTTACTCCCGGCTCTCGGTGTCATGTCATCGTGTGACTCTTAATGGATCCATGCACCATTATAGCAAAGACGATCCGACAAACAAAAAGCGATTGACGAGACAAAAAGACATGATTGGGCATGCAGAGGTGGAGGTGATAGTATATCGAGCGAAGACAGGTGTAAAGCATGCTTTGATACAAGAAAGTCTAGTTGAGACTTACGTTACAGAGAAGAATCTCCACAAAAAGAAGGAAAAATTCCAAGAAATTTGTGTGAACGATGGTTGCCGTCGGCTCTCAGTCGTCGCGCTACCGGGAGGAGGTTATCCGGGCGTAGAGGAGCTCGTTCCAGGTGTCCGGCAGGCCCGGCAAGCACCAGTGGATGCAGTCCGCGTAGGTGGCGGCGTCGGCCTGTTGCTCCGCCGTCAGCAGCTTCCCCTGCCGGAGCGTGTGCACGGAGGTGTGCGCGTCCTTGCGGTACTCCGACAGCGCCGTGATCTTCACGAACGACACCGGCACCTTCTTCATCCTCCCGATCACGTTCTCCGCCACCGCGAACAGCCGCCAGTCCGTGCCGACGTCGAGCGGGCGGGAGAGGTTCGCCACCGGCTGCGTCTCCAACGCGCACTTGATCCCGTCCGGGTTGCCCCAGTCCGTGCTCCTGCAAATTATCACCAGCATTTAGATGATCGACTGCGTCGTCGTCGTCGTCGAAAACTACCGCCATGGGATTACAAGCGGAGGCGATTCCTCCTCTCACGCCTAATCTTCCTTTGGGCTGTGTGTGTGGCTTTTCTAAAGCAAGAAAGGTGAGGATAGTTGGCCTTTAGTCCATGGAACAAAGGAGCTGCTGTTCCGATACCAAATGGTGGTGGGTCTTCGCCATCTACAGATGGTGCTCGTCCAACTCGGAAGCTTCCACTCATGTGACTCAAAACGATGGGTGGATTCCATCACATTGGACGGGCCACAATCCTCGTGGTGACATCGTCCGTGGAGTTCAACTCACCTGATGTGGTTGGGTGACATGCTCATGAAGAACACCATGGAGCGGTTGGGATCCACGTTCTTCTGCACCCACTTCGCCCATGCGTTCAACACACGCCTGTAAGCCGATGCCCGCTCCACCTCCTCGTACTCCGTCGATCCTCGTCTGGTTCCACCATAATCGAGTCCGATTACGACCGGTGCAGTTGAGTCGGACGAACTCAGCGGGTCGAAGATGAAGTCTACTCACAGGACTTTCATGGTTGGGGTGTTCATCCACCAGATGTAGGTGTTGAAGACGAGGTAGTCCACGTTCTTCCAGTGCTTGCCGTGCTTCGCGATCGACTTGGGGTCGATGATGCGGTTAAGGATGCTGTGCATCCTCGGGTCGTCGGAGTTCGACTCCACCAGGAACGGCGCCCAGTAGAACTCCACGGTCGCATTGTACTCCTGAGATCAGCAAACGATATGCTTCGGTTACATCAACGGCGACAGGGGATTTGGATGCGGTCGAGTCGATCGATTACCTCGATCCGGAATACGTTGAGCGAGCCGTTCTTGGTGAGGGTCTTCTTGTTCCATGGCACCGCGGATTGGACGAGGCACACCATCGACTCCCACTGGTTCCGGTTCAGGGAGTCGCCCACGAACATGAGACGCCTCCCTTGCAGCCTCTCCAGCATCACCCTCGCATCGAATCTTCTCATCAAGAAGAAAGAACCACTTAAGAATTGACTGCGGTTGACGTGCTTGATCAAGAAGACAACCAAAACAATGGTGTTGATCGGCGAGGAATAGCGTCATGTATACCTGGGCAAAGAACAATCTTGGGGCTGCCACCGCCACTTCTGGTAGCTGTCCTCGCGCCGGCCGTTCCTCATGCAGGTCACTTGCTCCGTCAAGAACTGGCACTCCTGCTCCTCGTAGATAGGGTAGCTCACGTCGTCGTAGACCCATCGGCCGGTGAACAGGTCGCAACTCTCCGGCACGTCGAGGACTACTCGTGGCTGCCGCTCGGCCTCCTTGGCGGCCTCTTCATGCACAGCTCCTGTAGCAACCGGTGACTCCATCACTCGCACGACGTCTTCCTTGGCAATTCCCGGCGCTGTCGGCTGCTCTTGGACCATGTCACCCTCTGAGGTCTCCGTCCTCCTCTTGGCTTCATGGTCTTCCTTTCTGCTTGCCTCAGCTACGGCGAATTCTTGGTGAGCGATGCCCGAAGGATTAGCTCCGCTGCCAAAATCATACTCAGCGACCGACTGGACGTCCCCGTCGTACACGAAGGTGCAGAAGAGGACCACCGAGACGACCAGGACGAAGGCAGAGTACTTGCCCTTCCTCCGGCGATTGCTGAAGGATGATGTGTGCTTCATGCTGGACGTTCGGGATTCGAGCAGCGCCATCTGATCCCCCTGAAGCCCGGGCTCACATGAAGCAAAGAAGGAGGAAGGAGGAGAGGAAAGAGAAGCAAAGATAAGGGAGAAAGTGAAGTGAAGTTTTCTCAACAAGCTTTCTTCTTCATTGGGTGGAGAATGCTGCCATCACAGTTCCTTTATTCATCCCCCACCATGGGATAAGAAGAACGAATGTAAGGATCAATTTGAGGGAGAAGGCGAAAGGAGAAGGGCCAATAATTAGTAACACATAAGCTTGCAAAAGAGGGAGAATTATTAGGTGGGGGTCCAGCTACTACAAGAACCCTAGAATGAACTCCACAATTCTTTTTTTGTTGTTGGTTAGGTTGTATCTTTTGGTAGGGTTTATAATAGATTCTGTGAGCTCTAATCCTGTGAAGACACAAATCTACATCTAATCCATGTTGACAGTAGCACATGTGATTGCATATGTTATGAACCATTTACCCATAAAAACCTAATAAGCATGAACTCAAGAAGAAGTGTAAAACTATAACCTACATACTTCCCTCAAAACATAACAATTTGATCAAAATATTGATTACAATCCATAAGTATCATCTGATATCCAGTAATGGAGTTAAATCTGTAAAAGAGTAGAAATTTAAGGATAACTTTGTGCCCACAACCACAAAGAATAAATTAACATGTAATGGACCTTTTTATTCTAATCCTATAACTAAATTGCATATATAATAAATTGGTTGCAAGTGTTCTAACCAGAGTATTTGAACAAGTCTGGAGATATAATTTTCCTTGCCTATTGATTAAGATGTTCTGAGGAAGAGTTAGCTAGTTGAGAAGACATATACCTTGCTGAGTCAACAACCACAAAGAACAAGTCTCAAGTCTAGCATATGCAGTTATTAATCTGTAGCTAAAGTTCATATATGCTTCTAAACTTTGATAAATTACAATATACAAAGTATCCACAGCTTTATATCTTTAAGAAAGTAAAGACAGTGCATCCTAGCAAACATGTAATTATAAGCTCTGGTAGGACAATATTAAATATTGCAAGTTGTTACATTGTTTGCAGTTAATCAGAAACCAAATCTGAAAGGCTGTGGAGAGATCACTTTTTTCTCTTCAAGTGAAGCAATGCCAATAGAGCTCATCTGCCTCCTGTTAATTTGATCATATGTTTTACTATATCAGTGATGACAGGAATCATTGTCTTGACTGCAGTATGTATGAGTTATGTTGATTATTGCTTGTAATGATGAGATATCAAATAGGTAGTTGAATAACCATGTTACAATATTAGCTGAACTAATGTTTCTCTCTTTCTCTCTATATATAAAAATACAGTGGCAATGTTCTGGATAGAAAAAAAAAAATCTGTCATATGCCTGGTGCTGCATACAACAGAGATTTTTAATTGATGAATTTGATTTTATATTTTGTTGGAAAAAAATACAAAGCAGAAATTTTGAGAGTTCACTGTAGAATAAACTCCCATATTATACATGCTCATGTCACATGATTGTTGATCTTTTCAAAGCAACATCCAGGCAACAGGATAGAACACAGTAATAGGTTCTGTCATTTGTTCACATGCTCACAGGAAAAGTGAGAAAAACACAAAAAGGAAATTGCTTCCAGGTTGAGTTTACCTCTCACAAGTGCTTCTGGAATCTCAGAAAGGTCATGGTGAGCTTGTGGTAGGTAGCAACTGTACCAGGTTGTTGGTAACATTTGATCATATTCCATTCCACCAGTAGGATAGACTAGCAAATGACACTCAGGATGCATATGGCTGGTGTGATGTGCTGCAGTAGAACACCAGTCAGAGAGATGGATGTATACTTCAGAACTAAGTGGACACAAGGATATCAGGAATTCCTAGTTATTCATCATCATTTAGCCCAGGGAGATGACAACCTTTTCTCTGACAAAATGATGATTTTTTTTTTCTTTGGATGAAGCTAGATTTTATGCATACCAAATCAATATTATATGCATTCTCACCTCTGGCAAAATAATTACTGCATTCACATCAAGTTTCTCCCAGTTTAAGATCTCCATGTTAATTTTTAAGCAGAGTAGATTCTCCCTTCAGGTGTCATGAGTATCAAATATTGTTTCCACATTCACATTAATTTGGTATTCTTATTTTTCTATTTCCAAAAATTATCAAATGAGGGGACTATGGTAAGAAGTTCTGCCACTGTCAAATGCAAATAGAACTAGTGCATTAACAAATCATGCATGCATCATTACCAATCTTTTGCCAATACTATTATCAAAAGATTCACAATCCTTTGTTGAGTGGGCCATGATTGACATCATTCAGCAGAATACTGTATAAATTTTCTGAATAAGAATGAAGACATATCTTACCATCGAAAGCATCTATCAAGACCAAGCCTACTACCCTATCCAAAAAAAGAAAAAGAAAAAGCAGTAAAGTCCAAATCCTACTACCCAACTGGCCCCACCAAATACTCAAGCTTAGTTTATTGGTCTGGGTTCTTTCTGAGTAAAAGCTTGGCTTCATGTGGTTTATGGTAGTACTGGTTCTGCCTTGTTGAGTTTGATGGTGAATGGTTTTCCTTAATTACTGGGTATATTTGGGATAGGTTGAGAAGCTTTAACTATATTATTTCTATGGCATGTAAAACAATGTTCTAGATTGGAATAACTGAGATAAACTATCTTCTGGATCCAAGTGGACTGATTGTGATTTTACACGAAAGATGAGGTTGATCGAATTGTATGGTTTATTTGAATCATCTTCCTCATGCAGCATACCACTGAAAATTAATTCTCCTAGTTAATCTTATTGAAAGTTTGCCATGTTTGTAGGCTCAAAAGCTTGGCTTGGTATCAGGGATGCAAAACACAGAATCCTGTGTCCTGTTGAGGCTTATGTTTGTGTTACAATCAGGACAAGCACACACCACTGTGTTTAATGGCTTGTAGGCTGATATCCATGCAGATCAAGATGGTGATTGATGTGCAGGGAGGATCTGCATGAGTTCAGATTGGTGTTCAAACAGATGAGTCTTTGTCTTCCTGTGTGCTGACAGAACTGCTGAAAGTTTCCTGTCTTGTTTTGCAGATGAGTAGGGAGTTCAGTGATGCTGCATTGAGCTCTCATTCTGGATGGAATCTGAAACTGAGAGTGGTTTCTGACATTGTGAACTTATGTTCAGATCAAGCATGATTTTGGAACTGATGAAGAAGCAGAAAAGGATTGTGATGATGAGAGGCCTATTCTGCTAAACTTTTGTAATGAACATGAGATGAAAATAGCAATTGATGCATGCACCTACATGTGCAAATTTTTCTGTGTTTGCTCCTCAAGTTTATTGGACTCCACAGCCTCTAATTTCTGACTGCATGTGACAAAAACAAATATTATCTTACAGATAAAATGATGCATATTTCAGATCAGATATTCCCAAATTACAAATGAATCACCCAAGAACCTTCCTCCTATATGTTGATTGCTCTTAACCTACACAATATTTCTTAGTCTGGTGAAAGATGTTGCAGAGGAACACTGGCAAGATTTCATTTTGATGCCTCGTTACTCCGCAAGATTGTAAAACCACATCATGCAAATAATGATAGTTCCATCTCAAATATGGACTCTGATTTTAGATAGGGGTTTTGCTATAATCCACCCTTGTCAATTAACTATCGAATCCGCTTGTTGGGAGGCTTAGCCTACAAAATTTTCAAGCTTAGGCCATAAAGAATTTGACATTAGAACAACACTTACTCATGACATATAAATCATGTGAAAATTTCTTTGATCTGACTTGTTCTTTAAAACACAAAGAGCTTAAAAGAAAGGAAAAAAACACAAAACCCATACTCACTTTATTACACAACTCGGGGCACTTAATCAGATAATTAGTCGAACCGGTGGATTAAATGGTTGAATCATAAGTTTAATATTTTTTCAAAAATAAAATATAATTATATTCTATCCAAAAAAACTTAATATTATCACATCCTATAGTTTTGTTACTTGTTATTTGCATAAAAGGAATAGTAAAGAGGATGATAAGAAAGCAAACACATTGAGGAATTGAGAGAGGTACAAATATATAGATTATTTTTTCTTAGATTCTTGTAATAGAAGGATTTAAATGATCAGATTAGTGAATTAAATCGGTCAAGGATCTGATTTCTATATGTATTTTGGAATGACAATGATTTTGAGTTGATAGTATGGAATATAATCCATTAACATCAGCTAATGAGCAAAATAAGATTGCAGATAGGTTAGCAATCATACTGAGAAGAATGAAGAGACGAGGCGCCATACGGATCAGGAGAAGAAGAGGGCAGTGTAGAGGAGCAGGTTCCAGGTGTCGGGGAGGCCGGGGAGGCACCAGTGGCTGCAATCGGCGGAGCGGTCGGGGTTGGCCCGCTGCTCCGGAGTCAAGTCGCCGCTGTAGATGGAAGGGTGGCCGTCCTTTCGGAGTTCCGACAAGGCGGTGATGTCGAGCAAGGCGGCGGGACTCCTCATCGCCTTGATCACGCCCTTGATCACCTGTATCTGCTCCGGGTACGGGGCCGTGTAGTTCCACCCGCCCACCGGCGCCGTCTCGCCGAAGCAGTTCTTCGAGGCCGCGCCGTTCCACTCCGCCGGACTGCGCACCAACGTCGCATGAAAGGGTAGTTAGCAGACACATTTTTTAGTTAGTGATAAGCGATAAGCATAATATAATGATCGTTGTGAGCCTAAATTAAGATATTATACGATCAATATAATAATCCTCTTATATTTTGTTTAATCTTAAATATGTTCGATTACAATGAAATCAAATTAAATAGATACTTGAATAATGATTAATTTGGAAATTAATAAGATATCCATCGAATCCATCTCTACCGTTGGAGCCGAATGGGGTCCATCGACGTGGACTAGGGACCCACCTATACAATGGTGAGCTCGACAATTATCTCGTGACGCTTGTCGTGACGCCAAAGGGGGTCGGCGGCGCCATCAGGCGTGCGACGTGCGACCTAACCCGGCAATTGGACTGCTCGAGGTAGCTCCCTCTGTCCTCCTCCCCCTGTTCACGAGCTCTGCTTCAGAAAGCTGACGACGAGAGGCACAACAAGGCCTCTCTCTCTCTCTC